CTGCCGTGTGCAGCCAGCAGCCAGCGTGAGCGGCCAGCAGCCGCAGTGAGCGGCCGTCCAGAAGCCGGCGACTGATCTGCCTCACCCGGAAGGAGCGCGGTGATGGTGCCAACTTGGGCCAGTGAAGCAGCGTCCTCCCCAACTAGACTGAGGAACAAAGGGACAGCGACTTGTCTGTTCCCCTTCCCCCAATTCCCCACCGCTGTTCCCATCCCCCAATTCCCCAATAAAAATCTTAAAAAAGAAAAAAAAAAAGAAAAAAGAAAAAGACATCGGGTTTGAGGTTTCTTCCTAAGTAGGCCAATTCCTCCCACAATCTTGAGGGTCTGTTAGATCTTTGTTCCTTGTGTACCTCTCTCACTGAGACCAGCCACTGCAAGAAGAGGCTGGAAAAAAATTTAAAAAGAGCAGAGAAGAAGAAAACAAAAGCTGCCAATTATGGAAGATGTAAAAGGATTCTGAACTATAAAGATCTTGTTCCAGGAACATACTGATTATCCTTGGCTTCTCCTCTATCATGGCTGTGATTGTTTTGACAGCTGTGGTGCTGGCCCAGAACAAACCATTGCCAGAAAATGTTAAGTACGGGACTGTGCTGGATGCAGGCTCTTCTCACTCAACTTTGTATATCTATAAGTGGCCAACAGACAAAGAGAATGATACAGGGGAGGTGAATCAGATAGAACAGTGCAAGGTATAGGGTCTTGGAATCTCAAAATATGCTAAAAAAAATACATGAAATAGGCATTTATCTGACTGCATGCATGGAAAGAGCCAGAGAAATCCCAGCACCAAGAGAAACCTGTTTACCTGGGAACCATGGCAGGCACACAGTTGCTCAGCATAGAAAATGAATAGTTGGCAGACAAGGTCCTGGCTGTGGTGACATGAAGCCTCAGCAATGATCCCTTTAACTTCCAGGGTGCCAGAGTTATCACTGGCAAAGAGGAAGGTGCCTATGGCTGGACTATCATCAATTGTCTACTGGGAAAATTCATTAAGAAATTGAGGTGGCTCAACCGGATGCCAAATGAAAGTAATAGTCGGGAAACCTTGGGGGAGGCTCTATGCAAATCACTTTTGTGCCCCCAAAATCAGACTATTGAGTCTACATGGAATGCTCTGTACTTTCATCTGCATGGCACACACATAGCTCCTTGTGTTATGGGAAGGATTGAGCACTCTTGCAGAAACTGGCCAAGGACATTTGGGGTACAAACAAAGCCCTCAGGGACCCATGTTTAACAGTAGATACAACAGGGTAATGAACGTAAGTGGCCTTCAAGGCAGCCCCTGCACCAGGACACTTGAGACAATTCTTCCATTCTATCAATTGCAAATCCAGAGTATTGGGGGCTTTCGATGATGGCAGCAAAGCATCTTTAAATTCTTCAACATCAGTTATTGCCTTTATTTCCACTGTTCCTTCAATAGGATTTTCCTGCCACCACTCCAAGGGCATTTTGGGGCATTTTCAGCTTCTTCCTATGTTATGAAGTTTTTAAAACTTACATCAGAGGAACTCCCCTCCTCCCCCGAGGAGAAGGTGATTGACACGGTGGAAAACCTAAAGATTTTGGTGTATTCTCAACCTTGGGAAGAACTAAAGATATATTTTGGTGAAGTGAGGAAGTATTTGAGTGAATACTACTTTTCTGGAGCCTACATTATCTCTGTCCTTCAGAGGGGCTATCATTTCACACTTGATTCCTGAAAGAATAGTCATTTTATGGGCAAGCTCCAGAGCAGACATGGGATAGACTTTGGGCTGCACACAGAATCTGAGCAACATGATTCCAGCTGAGCAGCCATTGTCCTCACCTCTCTCCCATTCCACCTGTATTTTCCTCATGGTCTTCTTGTCCCTGATCCCTGGTCACAGTGGCTATCATAGGCTTGTTTATCTTCCACAAGCCTTCATATTTCTGGAAAGACAGGGCATAGCAGGAGCAGCTGAAATCTGCTGGCTGGAGTGAAAAAAAAAAACTTGCCTTTTCCTCCTGTGGGAGCCTTTTCCTCCACAGTGGAGTATAAGGTCATCCTTCCTTGCTCCCCAAGGCCAGTCTTGGCCAGTATGAAGCTTCCTTGGCTTTGCTGAAACCTTTCCTTGGGAGGTATTCACACCACCTTTTGCCTCAGGGACTTCCCAGCGGACCTTGTCTCTTTTGTGTGTCTTTCCCAATTGCCTCTGTCTCTTTTGTACTCTGTGCTCATGAAGACCTTAAAAACCTGCCACTTTTCATGATCTTTGCTTTATAAAAGAACAATGTTGGCTTTGTCCAGAAGAACAGAGTCCTGAGTCCTGTGCTAAGAAGTTGTGCTGCCTAAGAGAAGAATCTCAGCTGTACTCCTACAGACCCTTTCTCTCTGTTTCCCATTTATTAAGAAAGCCATACAGTGCCTTGGAGAGTGCAGACACACACCCCATTTCAAGCTTGCCCTCTGCATGGGAGAATTTTCTATACTAGGCAAATATGTGCTAGGGCCAAAGAGTCTCTCAAGAGAGCTTATGTGCTTGTGCAGTTAATACAATACTTAATCCAATCCAAGACAGGGATGCAGATGAGTCACATATTCCTAGGTGATGCCAAAATGCTACAGAGTGGAACACCCAGATCAGAGGTTTTTTTAAAAGCTGATGTACATATAGGCGTTCAGATATCAGGGTACGTACATGTTAGATATAAGTATATACATGTCAGGAAGAAAACAGTTATAACACAGGGTTGGGAAATGCATCTTCCACTGCATTTATTGGGGTTTTGTTTTTACTGTAGTAAAATACATATAACATAAAATTCACCACTTTAACATACACAATTCAGTGGCATTTAGTACATTCACAGTGTTGTGCAGTCATCACCACCAACGCTAGAATATTTTCATCACCAAGGAATTGGCTGGAGACAAGACCATTCCAGGATAGGCTCAAACCACAAACCTTTTAGGTAATAGCCAAATATGTTAACCAATTGCACCATGATGATGCTATTGAGGTTTAAAGCCATGCCATATCTTACTGCCTCAGGGTTTACTTTAGTGAGAGAGCTACATTAGTGTAAAGTGGCATGCCTTTTCAGTGTCATGGTATTTACACACCAAAATGTGTCAGGAATCAGATCTGAAACCCAGGTACGGCTCGATTTACTTATTCCATGGAATATTTTGCAGCTATGGACCTTGTCACAGAAATATGAAGAGACCTGTACCTTCTTCTCTTAAGGATTGCTGTAAGAGTTACCTGTAGAGCAGGAAGGAGTTGTAATGTGTTACTCTGACCTTTCCCCAGGCTCTCCAACTCTGGATCTGGGGACTGACTGTTGGGCTGATATGAGGCAGGGGAGGAAGGGGAGAAGGAAAAGCTCTCCCACAAACTAAAAGCCAAATATCCCTATACCTCTTTAAAAAGTCATTTTTTTTAACAACATCCAGGTAAATACAAGCTTAATAAAGCTGTGAATGGGAACATTTTCTTTTCTGATACCCACAATTGCACTTGTTAGACCTTGATTAGGAGCGAGAAGTCAAATAAGAACAGGTTTAAACTCTTTCTAGTGGTAGTTGGTTATATTGTTATAGCTAGTATTTACTGAGCATTTGTTGTGTACTATGCTTTGTGCCCAACTGCATTACATTCATTTTCTCATTTAATCCTCACAACAATCTGAAGGTAGGTACTACCGTTCCACTCCATAGAAACAGAAACTGAGGCTCAGAGAGGTTAAGTCGCTTGCTTAAACGGCTGAGCCAAAGCCTGGCATGCACTTCATCATTATTTTCTATCACAAATATACTGCTATACTGTCTCCTTATAACTTCTAAGCACACACTTAACTCTGCATGAATACAGGGCTTATGAGCATGGTGTAAAAGGAAGTAGACAGGTGACCTGTTTCCTGATGGAATTGTGTTTTAATATTGCTTTAAATCCACAAAGGCTGTCACGACAACACCAATACTCTGTTCCTGTACTTTTGCATGGTAACATACGTGGCGTACAATGTAATTAATGATTCCCATACTCGTGGCTTCTTATTTATACTGCTTGCTCACTGCACAGCAGTTCAGCATCAATTAAGTAGTAGTTGATAATGATGAAAATAAAAGGTCATATAAATAGAAAAAAAGTTTGCAAAATGTAAAACAATGCCACTGTTTCTCACTAGATTTTTTGGAAAATATAATTTAAAAATAAAAGCATGTTAACATGTTATACAGTAATTATCAATAGATATAATCTACACAAACGAAAGCTCTTTGTGATGCTCAACAATTTTTAAGAATGTAAACTTTGAGACCAATAGCTTGAGAACCCCTAGAGAAAGAATAGGGTTCCAGATCTAGATTTTTTTCAGGTACCTCGTGGTAGTAACCTGCCCCTGTGATTCATTCAGTTTCTTTAACTCAATACTCATCTTTGTGATGTGAGTAGCCAGCTATAGCTATTAATCTCTTCCATTTCTTGACGTTCACATATTGCATTATATGTGTATATAGGGACTGTCTCTAGAAGGATACACAATAAACTGGTACCAGTGGTTCCCCCTGGAAAGGGGAACTGGGAAACTGGGACGATGGCACCGTAAACCTTTCTGCTCTGATTTGTTTTTAATACATCATGTATGCATTGCCTAAATTTAATATTGAACAATTAAAAGTAAAACTACGCTTTTGTTGAGATGAATAGGAAGCAGAAGTCAGTAGTGTAGTGTTGTAAAGTAGCGTTGACTAACAATTACAAACAAAAAAAACTCGTTTTTCCGTGTCTACCCTCGCGGGGCTCACAACCACTTCACACAAATCCCTCCCACTGGCATCCCGCCCGCGGGAGTCAGGTCCCTCCTTGCCCACGGCCCCACCCCTCGCAGCCTCGGCCCCGCCCACGTAGCATCACTTCCGGTCGACCAGCTTCCCCGAACTCCCTCTAGCTCCCGCCTTCGCCCGCTTCCGGTCGTCGTCGTCGCCGCTGCTGCCGCTGCTGCTGCTGCTACTGAGGCTGCGGGCGGAGGCCGGAGGATCGGGCGGCGGCGGCGGCGGCGGCTGAGAGGGCGGCGGCGGGAGCGGAGCGGGACGAGGGAGTGAGAGGAAGCGAGTGAGGAGCGAGTGGAGCGCGCTCGGCCCCGTCCGACCTTCCGCCCGCCAGAGGAGCCAGAGGAGCCGGAGCAGCCCGAGCCCCCAGCTGCCGTCGCCCCGCCGCCGCCGCCCGCCTGCTCGCCCGCTGGACAAAGCCAGAGAGCCCGCGCCCAGAGCCATGTCCTCGTCCGCCGGCAGCAGCCACCAGCCCAGCCAGAGCCGCGCCATTCCCACCCGCACCGTACCCATCAGCGACGCCGCGCAGCTACCTCATGACTACTGCACCACACCCGGGGGAACGCTCTTCTCCACCACGCCGGGAGGTGAGCGCCCGCCGCGGCCCCGGCACCGTGCGGCCTTCATGCCCGGAGCCTGTAGCCTGCAGCCTCCTTCCTCCTCCGGGTTCCCCCAAGTCTCCCGCCACGGTCCTTTAACTCAGGGCGTGTCCACGCTGGCTGCTTCGGCCAGTTCTCTCCTCACCCCCCCTCCGCCCCCCCCACACGCCCCAACCCGCCCGGCTCCACCAAAGCCCCCGTGGGACTGCTTTCGGGAATCTTAACTTCGCATTCTGTCTTGCCCGCACTCAATTCAGCGCGCGCCCATTCTGGAAACGTGGCTCTCTTGTGGAGAAAAAAAAAAAAAGCCCTGTTCCCTCTTCGTGGCAGGTTTATGCACTCGACCTAGTTTTCTTCCCCTTTCCTCCTCCCAGGCAAATTCGTCTATACTTGTCCTTGAGCTCGCTCTGCGTTACCTCTGCTTCTTGCGTATTGTGCATTTGTGCATATTAACGCTTGATTTTTGGAGCTGTCTCCCAGGCCTTTTTGGAATGGAAGTTGGGGTGAATACTTCGCTCCTGGGACCTTGCGATGACTTGTTTTGCTGCTTTTAGAGCACAAGGAGGAGGCTGGAATGCGGAGTTTGGAAGCCTCGCCTAGCGTTATCCTGCTTTGACAGCATTGTTTACTTTGCTGGACAAGGCCCCAACGGGTGGGGGGAGTCCCCAGGCTGGAGGAGAGGGTGATAAAGTCATGCTCAAGTACTAGCCAAGGGAAAGGAGTGGGGGGTGGCAGAGCGTTGGTAGGCTTTTGGCAGCCTCGTGTTTGGCGATAGATTGAAGAGGCCACTGTCACGGAGGGCACCCTGGTGGGTGGGGTTGGTTGATCCTAAGGAAGGGGCAGTGCAGAGGGAGGTTCCTGGGCATTGCTTTTCACAGAACGACCAGGAACTGTTTACAAGAACGAACACTGGGGGAGAGGTGAAGCCGTTGAATTGGTAGGGAAAAGGGAGCTCAAAGGTTGTGTTTCCCCTGACTGGGCTGTATTCCAAAGGGAGGAGACTGGAAAGCGGTCTTGAGGGACCGTATTGAAGGGAATGGTGCTTCATTTTTAACTCTGGAACTTGGCCTTCTTTTAGTGATGTGGTGGCCTGTCGCTAGAGGGTTGGGACTGTGCTGGCAGCCGCTGCAACCTACTAGATTACTAGCTTCGTTCCTGTGGGCTGGGCTCACCAGTTGTTCCTACAACCAATCCCTTGCAGTTAGATCTGGGCGATCCCTGAATCAGTTGCACAATAACAAGGGACCTTAGAGTAAGAAGACGTCCCTGCCAACAAGGGATAAAAATCTAGGAGAGAGTTCTACAGAGGAAACCAGCCAGGCCACTCTAGGGGAGGGGTTACTGGCTTGGAAGATTTTAAAATGACCCTGGCAGGAGAAGCCCTTAAGATGTATGGAGAGTTGGGTTTAACGAAGATTTAACTGCAGAACAGTGCAGTGTTTTAGTGAGGTGGCTTACCTCCCTGGAGAAACCTCCGTTCTGACTTGATCTTCAAGGCCAGCCCCTAAGCATGCTGAGACCTTGCTGCTTAATCATGAAAGATTTTGGCAGACCAGAATCTGCTTCAGACAGAGTCGTGTTGAACTGACAGCTTTTAAGAAATGGATATTGTTTTCCGAGGTGATGGAAAGGACTTTATAACTTCCAGAATTCTTTGTGGGATTGGTCGGTAAATGCCTGTGCTTCCAGCAGTTCAGAACATACATCATAGTAACAACTGAACTCAACTATTATTTATTTGGGGAAATAACTAAACTTTTAGCTGTATATTAATCATTATTCCCCTGAGGGAAGAGCCACGAGAGCCACTTTTTTGTTTTGCCATATTTCAAACAGCCAAGCTATCATGCTTTTAAAATGAGGGCACAGTCTTTAAGCATTGCTTTAGGGCTAGAAGCCTGTCTCATAGTCTGGATTAGTTCCTAAAATGCTTGGAAAGATTCTGCCAGAAATACTGATTCATTTACCCTTCCTCCCAACACACACACACACACCACTGCTTTCTCAAATATCACTAAACCTGTCTCCAGATAGTTCCCACACACACAGGTTTTTGTTTCAGATTTATTCATTGGGTTGTCAGAAAAATCATGAAGCGTTTTTGCAACGAAAAACAGAGAGAAAATACGTCATGACTTTTCCGACAACCCAGTAAATAAATACTTGTCATCTTAGCTCATCTATTATATTAAGCCTGTATTGATTGGTAGAGCACGTTGTGATCTTTGAATTTTTAGCAGTAAGACTTATTTACATATTGTGTTTAGAGGAGATAGCACTATTGTGATTATATTTAATCACTATTTTATATAGCAATTAACTCTGGTGTTTAGAAGTTCCATACTTATTGATTTATTTTTTTCCAGCTTTGGGAAATTTCTGCCCTCCTGGTTTGTTCATATCTCTTGTTACATTCCTTTCTCTTCCGCATGTAATTTTCCTGGAACCAGGGTAAGATAGTTTGTTGTCAATCTGGTCTCCTCCAGCTACCTGAATTAATGTGGTTCGGTATCTTGAGTGAGCTTTGTGGACCCAGTGCAGTGTTTTTCACAAAATGAGACCCCAGAAAAAATAGGAAATGCAGTCCTTCCTCTGAATGGTCTTAAAATCTTGATAGGTGTTGGGGATGGATAAGATTTGTAATTCTAGAACAAAAAACTTGTATAGAATCAAGTATTAACTTACATATTTCAGACTTGTAAACATTCAAACAAATGAGAGTCAGTAGGCTTGTATTGGAAATCGCTATTTACTGGGAAGGAAGGGGATTAGCTTTTCCTGTCTCAGATTTCTGGAGTGTCATACCCATGTCAGAGCATTCCAGAGTAACAGTTGATGTGCCGAATGCCCCAAGTGATCAGACTGGGCAGGACATTCACAATATAGTGAGCTTAAGACCTTCCCCCCCACTTGAGTCCTTTATTGGGGGTCAGAGGATGCAGCCTACACTTGAAAAGTTTTCTCAAAATGAGAGGGGGTGAAAACACTTGCTGTATGTAACCTCTTGGATTTCTCTTATTGCTTTTCTCATTATTAGGGAAGAGGAAAATTTGTGTTGAATAAATTCAAAGTGCCCCCCCCCCCGTACCACCACCAAAATAAAAAATGCCCTTGGATTTTATTTTGGTTCTTCCTTTGAGAAGCTACTTCTAGTCTCAGTGGAAGGTAAAGTTACTATAGTTGGCTTCACTTTCATAACACTTCGGTTAGCTGAGAGAAACTGAAGCTCAGAGAAATTAAGTAACTTGTTAGTGTTACGCTGCTAATTAATGGCAGTGGGTAACCTCAGATTTGGTGTCCTATCCCTATTCCAGTTTTCTCCTCCACTATCTTAAGATGCTTATTTTACTGGGAAAGGATGCTTGCAGACATTTAAAGAGATGTTTCTACCTCTGGAATGCTAGCTAATGTGATTCTTGCTGCTGTCTCCTGGAAGAGTTGTGCTCTGGGGAATGAGCAGAAACAGAGAGACCTCTTTTGCCTTTTCCTGCATAACAGCCTCATCAGCTGTGGAAAAGTGTGCTGTTGCCGTAACAAGAGCGCCAGAGGGGAGCTAACTATGATATTCTGAAATCTCGTTCATGCCTCTGCACTTCCTCTTGCCAGCTGGAGAGTTGCTGTGATTCGTTTGCTGGGGCAGAATTGCCTGAAGGCCATTGGAAGGGTCTGAAAATAAAGGAGAATTCAGGAAAAGGGGGAAAGAATCTGCTTCGGTTTTTAATAACATAACAGTATTTTTTGGGGGGGGTCCCTGAATTTTAATTTGGTTTCTTTCTTGGGAGAAGTAAACAGAACTCTCTCTGTGTGTAGACATGGGGAAAGAAGGCCAGTTTCTGACTCTCATAAAATTTCTAGTTTGGTGACCTTGGGCTGAGTTTATTCTAGGACAGAAATTTCTGAACCAACAAATGTACCATTTGGCTCTCTAGCTTCAGTGATTAACCAAAAGACTTCATTGTTACATGCGAGAAGTACATGAAAAACATAATGAAAGGTGTTATTTCGCCTTGTGTTAGAAGAAGATGGCGTTTACTTAGAGTAACATAAATTAACGTGTTGTCATTCCATGAGAGATTCAGGTGTAGTCTCATCCTCTACAGCTGCCAGCGTATTTATTAAAGAAGATGTACTTCAGTTTTTATGTTGGGTGCATTTTTGCTGATGAGAGACTGAATTCTGAGTCTGGGAAAGGCAGCAGTTCTCATCCTCAAGGCATATGGCAGTGCTTGATGTGGAAGGGAGCGCCTCTGCCAGCCCTAAATCAGGTACGGTCTGACGAGGTCAGGCAGAACTCTTACAAGTTGGTAATGCAGCACTTGCAGGAGAGACCTGTGCACAGCTCCCTTCAGCTCTCCTGAGGCCTGTTGTATAAAATAGGAAGGATGAAAAGTGATGAATCTGTAAACTGGCATTCCTAGGGTTATTCAGCAAAGATTTTTTTGAGTACTGGGATCTTAGAGACAATTTTATAGGAGGGGTTTTGAATGGTTTGCAGACACTGTCGGCTTGATTACTTGCATGTGTAAAGGTTTGCAGATCAGACAGGTAAAGTTAATGTGGGGGAAGCTAGTTCATCTGGCTGGCAAGAACGAGCCTGAGCAGAATAGCTTGTTGGTGAATGTCAGAACATTTTCTTGACTCCCAAGTCTTTAGATGAATAAATTAATGTTCAAAAGGTTTTTGCTCCATTTATAATAGCACAAAAGTCAGTTGAGACTTGCAGTCATTCAACTTATTGAATAGGTAAGGCCTAGGTTACCATTTTCAAATTCGTTCATCATGGAACTTTGGTTTGTGAAAGCCCTTTAAAACCTGTGTGCTCCTTACCACCCAGCAGCTATCCATCCGATATGTGGCTAGTTTTAAAGGCCCCCTTTACCTGGTTCTCAGGCCACAGCTTGAAGCCAAAAGCTCAGAAACCTATGAGTGTTTACATCTAAATAAATTATCTTTCAGATCTCTAGGACAAATGTCCTGACAAACAGAAA